CATTTGTGTGTGGGCTGTGATACTGCCCGGGTGCCCAAACCGAAGCAGGTGGTTATCTTAGGGGGCCACTCCCTGAGCCTTTGACCTAAAGGTCTAACCCACAAGGCAGTGGAGCATCGTAAGGAGATGCAGTCCCATGGTAGCCGGTGACCAACGATTGGTTCATACGCCATTCGTTCCCGCAGGATACTGGAGCCCATGTGCACCATTGATTTGGAATCCGGTTAAAGCGCCGGACATTCGCTTTTCGTCCTCTCATTTTCGTAAACAACACCCCCGCCACGAGAAGGCAATGAGTAGGACTTCCCTGGCAGAGGCTGTATACGCGTGGCCGTGTGAGAGTATTTCGAGAGGGAGAGCGGACTCTCCCCACTCTCGGCCGTACCAGGGCATTCAGGGGGGCATGGTAGACAAAGTCAAATGTAATATCCTGGATTATTTATTTACAGCTTACTGAACATTTCAGAATAAAAAATATAATTGATATAGAATAGACTGATTGTTATTAGTGGTAGGCCTGTTACTTGGATGCAGCTGCGTTGATTTTTACACAGATATTCGCTTCAGGGGCTCAATGTACTGTCCACTCAACCACTAAACCTTGATCCATCTATTTTAAAAAAATTTATAATGATAAGGCAATCGACGCAGAATGGATATATGCCCACAATGACTGATTAAAATTCAATCCTCAATTTTAATAACAAGATAGCTCAAAGTTTACTAATAAAAATATAAATAGCATGACTGTTCAATATTGTCATATGCTCAATTATGCTGAGAAAACTTAGTAAGATAAGGGATAAATATCTGAACTAATCAAATACCTAATTAACTACAGAGAAGTGGATTATTGCATATAAAAAATTAAAGATTAATCATTCATATTAACCAAATACCTTTATTATGATGAAGATGTAAACTATTTCTATACTGATAACTATATTTATGTGTAAATATACACTGTCTTAAATGATGCCATTGAAAAACATTTCTTCATTGAATTAGTTCCTTCCCAAAGCTCTTAGTAAAAGAAAAATATCAGCAAGGTTTAACCGAAGAAGAATTGTGTACGAAATACTCTTATAATAAAATTTTATATCAAAATTAAAGGATATATATAGAAAACAAATCTTCGAATAATGTATGTTAATTAAATAGTAATTTAATGAACCTTAAACATTCACTAAATCAATCAATCACTACACTAATCTATCAATAAATTATTTTATATACCAGGAGTTTTGTGGAGATTGTAGTAATTTCAACAGTTGAAACCATGAGTCAATTGATGCTAGACAACTATGGAAAACCTGGAAGCACTGGACGGCCCTTTCATCCTATTGTGGGACTCCTCAGCAGTGTGCAGTGACTAGTGGAGTTTAACCGGGTCACTTGTGAGGTAGTTACTCACTGATGACAATGGTGGATGTGTTGCTCAATTTCGTGAATAAGTCCTGTGATTTTATTCCATTTTACTCCAAAAATGAGGAAATCCTTCCTTTTACTACATATTAGTTCCATTAATCTAACTTTTAACTAAAATTCAATTTAGGCGATTATCTATGATTACTTGATTGTCTTTTTGAATAGTTTTATAACAATCTCTCTTTCTAAATTATTTGAACAACTATGCCAGTATAACCAGTGGTCAGTGCAACATCAGTATGGAGTTTTATTCTCATTGTTATATATTATTTTCATTTATTGTAAGTTGAAATCCATTTTATTCATGAAAATCATTTATCAAATACAGGTTTGGTGTAGCTAGTTTAAAGTTACACTTGATGTGAGAGACTACTGATAATAACCAACTAAACAGAAATACAGAGAGTAAAGTTCGAATCGGTGATCCATAGTTTATTAGCTGACTGCTGCTACTTTATTTCACAAATTAACATCCTGTTAGGTGGTGAAAATTTAGATAATTATTTCAGCTTATCTCACGAAGTTGTAAAAGAAAACGCAACATTCCCTAATATCATGTTATATTTCCGTCATTTTTGTAAGATTGTAGACAAACTAACTGTAAACACTGATATCTTTCCATGTATATTCCTAAACAAAAAATAGTACTACAGGGAACAAAAATAAAATAATGTTTTCTGACGATTTTTATACTCTTCAGGTGTCTATAAAATGCTACTATCCTTAGAATGGAAGTTGTGAGTGATTAGCCTTACTAACTGGTAATGAACCTTATTGAGTCTATATGATAAGTAAAGGGCAGTACGTCTGATCCTGAGCATTAGTTGTAACATAGTTGATAGAGATTGCCAGTACGCTATTCATATGAATACCAAGGAGCAATTATTAGGCAGTAACATGACTAAGTTTCCACGCACTTGATAAAATCTATCAATAGAACGAGCTTTCGTCGTTTTTATCAATTTGAATAACCTATCACTTTAGAAAACCTATCTCAACTTCAATCCTTGAATACGTTGGTTAACATACAGTGAAACATATGATATGAACCTTAAGATTACAGAAAGAGTTGTATAATACTACACTGTTAAACTAAGAAAAAATATACTTAATCTGATAGATAAATAAATAGAAAGTTTCTCTTACAAAATATGTCGTTTTGATCAAGACAAAATAAAGCTGTTTTTGGATTTGGTCTTCACTGTAGCAAATCGGCTAATGACACTGAACCAAATTCACTCTCAGCTATGCTATCATATATGTTTGTTGATTCGTTTGTGAAGAAACATCAAAAACGCAAGTTAGGCGAAGTGTCTTTTTCGACTAGTTTCTCATCAAGGCTCTACATTAATATTTAATCGTTACAGTTAATAATAAAATCAGTGCCAAATAAATGTTGATTAGTCAGTTTAAGTGTTTTCTCCAAAACAGTGTAGTTAGAAGCTCAACAGATGTAAGGTTAGATCTAGGGATTTTGTAATCGGTTAATTACGAAAATTCACTACATAAGAATAAGAATAAATACACACGACTCAACGATCGAAAATCAAATCTAGAGACTATAAAATCACAAATCCATGCATGATTTGTCATCTCTTTTCGCTTAACGAACAATGTCTCACAAGTTGTTCAAGGGTTAACTTACAGAATGCAATTGGAACCTAGTTCCGTTTATAAATCATGCTAGAAATCTCATGCTATATTCGCCAAATAAATCTGTCCTCAACAGCGTAAATTATTATTGTTCAAAAATAATGCTACAAATGGGCTTATTGCTTTGATCCTAAAGTTGCTTATCAGAAAGGTACTGAGTACCAAGTTTTGATGGATGAAAAGATTAAATTGTTCAAACAATTCGTAGTAACCTGGCTTAAAGCAGGCATATTTTCAATTCCCTAGCAGTCTCAAGTACATTTTACAATAAATCATTTTACTGTATTCTAATCAGTAAACTGAAAATTTCGTAAGAATATAATTAAGGAGCAGTTTGGGACTCTGTGAGATAGTCAAAGTTAGTTTTGAGGACCTAACCAACTCACTAATCTCTTTGAAGTTGTCAACTAACCGGATATTTAAATCAACGGATACGTGAGTACATACTCTACTACTAACTGTTTATATGTTTGAATTTTGTAACACCTGTGAATGGATCAATTCAAAATGATACATGATATATCTGTTCAGCAATCGCAACAACTATATTAACACAGCCTCTTATTACCGCTCATACTCTTAATATGTTCTTCTCAAAGGCTTCTGTATGATATAGACCATTTCTCACTAGCATTATGTAAGAAACTCCGACAATCCAATGTGAGCTGCAATTAGGAGATTGGTACGTCATATACGTAAATGCCATAAAAGAACCAAAACATAACTCGGTTCGTCCGTAGCTATCATCTGGGTGTCCATAAATCTGGGTTCGACCAATGTGAACAATAAGTTTTGGGGAATCTACCTAGTATTTTTCTAAAAGTTAAGAACACTTCAAGGTAAAAGACTACAATCAGCAAACAGGGGTGGGGAAAGTCACATTTAGATGGTCATTCTGCCAAGCAAGGTAAGTGGATAGATAATCGAATTCACTTTTATCTAGTTCTTCAAACGTAACCTATTTTCAGCCACTACGAAATTTAAATATAAAACAAAACACTTTGATCTGGAGGTAACAAAAAGACGCATTTTTCAAGTTGAATAGCCTGCTGCTGATATTCAAAAGTAGTAAGACTAACTTTTTTAGATTATAGACGTGACTATATTTCCGTTAGATTTTCAAAGATATCTCTTGAAAACTAATACTCTCCTCGGAGCATTTACCTGAAATCTTGGTTTCATCAAGCATACAACTACGCCCGAATTAATCCAAGAAAAATAAAACTAAAAAGTTCATACGCGTTTTTATTGACGTTAAAATTTAAGAGATTATATTCACAGAAAACTGACCGAACACTTATTACGGCATGACACTATTATTGATACTGACCAAGCCCAGAATTATGAGCTATTCAGTGTCGGTAAATACAACCAACTTCGCCGAAACTATTTGGTTTTCGAAAATTCTTTGGTACTATGTTTGAAAACTAAATATATCAGACAAAAATTTGCACACAAACTGAAAGTTCAAGATGATTAGAAAAGAGAAACCTATAGAGAATGCACTGACATAAGACTATGATTGGTTGTTATTTAAGCATCCTAGATAGTTATTATGAATATTGATCACAGACCATACTTAGTGATAAACCTTTAGAGAAAGGTAGCGGTACAATAGAAAGGGGATTCTAGAACGTTTTCGATGACCATTCGGCTTCCATTTATCGGAAGGACATCATACAAACTGTGGTAATCAGAAGCACGTTTATCTGTATATATTAGAAAGTGGCAGGAATTTACCAAACACTAGAATACTGAAATGCTTCATCGTCAATGAAACTGTTGTACATAATAATTTTAAAGATTGATCTAGGAACTTAACAAAACTCCAAACATAATCATTTATTTATACATTATAAATGAAAAATATGGAAAGTAATAAGTATATATGCGTTTACAGCACATTTATTGGAAAAAGATCAAGTTGGTTCCTCTTTTACAGTTACAGAAGATAACAGATTATGGTTTGACCTATATTTTCTACCACATTTTAACAGTGCATCATTTAATAAAGCAGGGATAATCTCTTCTGAATCTGAATTACCTTTCTTTTTTAATACTTTGGAAGTGGATGAGTTCTCCTTTCGTAATCTCTTCACTGAACCAGCTGGCGAATCATCATGAGTTAATAGACTTGCACTACAATTATCGAGGACTCCAACTTCTTGTAATGATTCTTCAAGTTTCCGAATCTTTGGTTTCCTAACTTTTGGTGTTTTATGGTTAGGTGAATTAGTCGGAAAAGTGACTGGATCAGAAGAATTTTCATGAAATGACGAAGTAGTCTGATAACTATCAGTATCATCGGAGACTTTTATTACTGGTTTTATATCACTCATATCAGTGCCAGCAGAATTTGTTTGATGTTTATGCTGTTTCTCGGAAGATTTTGATAAGGGTTTCGAAAGACACTCCATAAAGTCACCTTGTAAAATTGGAGAGCCAAAATTGTTATCAATTTGAGTCAATTTAACTCTTATTTTGTCAAAAGGTTTTAAAATGGACTGGCTGAATTCTTCTTTTTTTACTGACTCCGAAGATAAACGTGGAAGACTAATCATTACATTGGAAATTTCTGTACGGCAAAGAATAAATTGTGGTCTAACCACTGAAACAATCGCATCTACTTCCAAACCTAAATATGGGCGAAAAATATTGACCTTTATCTTCCCGTGTACACGAAGATGGTTTAACTCTGGATGAATCAGGAAAAGACCACAAGTGAAACCAGTAGGGACATAACAATCAGAATAATCAACTTCAGTTATGATTTGTAAACTTTTTGCGTCAAAATCCACAAGGATACCTTTTAGGTCAGGGATGAACTTGTTAACAGACGAACTAACATATTGAAGTAAAGAACGGGTCAACTGACTGAAATTAATGGGATAAATCGGGACACAAAATGACCAAATGGTACTCTCCATTTTTATTCATTCTGAAAAAAGAAAAAGGACAAATATATACACTATACAAAAAGACAAAAACGAGGATAGATAAAGGGAATGGTGAATCCAAAATAAATAATTTAATGTTGCAGATTCATCCGACCCGTCTGCATTGTTGTGATGCATTTTGAGCCATCACTAAGGGAAATTGACCACCTACGCAGTAGACTTACGCCATTAATTAGCGTTTATACAGATTTATGACTCGGTTAGGGTTAGAACCCATAATGAGTTGAAAAACACTTAGTCACTTATTAGGTTTCAACAGTGGGAACTATCAGTTAAACGAGTACGTAGTTCGTCGTCAATTTTAAATGAGCTATTGGAAAGCGCTCTGTATGGTCTAAGTATACCGCTGAACAACCCTGATATCCTAACCACTTAGGCAATAAGGAGACAGAAACGACTGTTGAGTTATTTATTTCTTTATGACTAGAACTAAGGATATGAAGATCAACATCTCAGTTCACGATGAAAGTCGCAATCTTTACTTCTGAACTAAATTACTTATGGTATTTTGATAAATGTGATGTGATCTCGGATTGATCATCACTGTTTCAGAGATGTTTTAGCTTTATCACAAAGGCAGGATATAATTCAGTGCGGTGGAATGATAAGCGGCGGGTATGTTAGCAACTGCTGATTCGCCACCAATTGTGTGAGTTTTGACAGGAGACTTGGAAATGTAATTAAAATTACCTCAGGAGTACGAATGGTTTGCTTAAACCAGAATGCTAAATACTCCTAAACCCTAAGTGAGCCCAGGGGTAAACTTCCAGATACTACACATCTATTACACACCTAACCAAGGAGAATTAATAGGAAAATAAAAATTTAGTTTGGTATTTCAACTACACTTTGAATTTCACGGCTAACGTTGTACGGTTTTGTAGTAACTTACGTTAAAGTATTGTAAAGTAGGATTTAGACATCATACTCTTTGGATTCCACAAAAACGGAAGCCACAAACTAATATACTACTTAAAGCAGTTTTAACCCAATTACGTGAGGTGGTAACCTAATAGTGGTTACAACACTCACAATCACTTCCCTTGATTTGATTAAGGATCTTTTGATTTAGGACTCAAAATTTTTTCGAAACATGTTATTATAATGTACACAAAATGTGGAACAAAGCGAGGATACACCACGCCTAAGTGCAACGTTTACATTGAGAAACGCGGTCTACATAGTTTATGTTGTCGTGTACAGAAAAGCAGAAGCTCCCGCTTAACGAATTTCTGCATCTTTTTCAAATTGGAACTGTTTAGATTGGACGCAGTTCGTGTCACCCAAAAACGCTTCGTGCGCTATAACGAAGAACGTAGTCTGACCTGATCGAATAAATTTGGTTTGTTAGTTCTGAGTCATCAAATGCATAGTTTGATTACAAATTGTTAGAAACCATACTCACCCTGGCTTTGTTCCGGCACATTGGAGACCCCACCAGATATGACCTACAAAACTCTTCGTCCCTCTTGGACTTATTCTTCATATACGGGGATGATGTCAGCCAAGTGACTTCCTCCCCCACGTTTGTGGAAAAGTGAGCATGTGATCATCTTATCCAAGTCCATGGCTGAGATTACCTGTGAAGCAGTTGCGACGCCACGTCCTAACATATGGAAGGCAGACATGAAGGCGGTAAACTTTGCAGCCTCTCCTGTTCACTGGAAAATCGACTCAGCAACATCAGCAGAAGAGGTATCGACTCAGTTCAGGCATTTATACAATCAAGTGCCTCAACCATTTATACCCTGGACAGTCCCAAACAAGAAATACGGCTATCCTTAGATAGATAGAGACATTTAACACTTACTAAGACAAAAGAAACATTGGGACTTCACCATCAGTCTTGGAATAACAAATACGATGGGACGCCACAGGTCGATCCGAAACAAGTCTATTATCACAATGAAGACAGCAGGGCAAAAATATGAAAAGCATTAAGCATAATCTGTAATGAAGCGGCCGAAGGTACTGTTCTCGTACATAAATTACGGAACATGCACGCATCATTGTATTCCCTACATAGATATTGAGGGGAGTACATCTTAAATGATAGAGGATGATCAGGACAAAGCAGAGGCTATGGCGAACAATTTTGGGGCAGCTTTCACTACGGACCTTTTTCTAGACGAAGAACTAGATCCAAATACAAAGTCACATAACCGGCTGCTCACAGTGGACTTCAATCAAGACGATTTTACTGACAGCCCTTACCACTTTAGAAACGGAAAAATCAACAGGATCGGATAAACCACACTCGAAATCAGTGGATATTGTCTACATAGACATCAGCAAAGTATCTTTTATAGTGCCGAAAAATATATTACTATTAAAGCCGGAAATCGTACCCACCAAGTTAAATCAAAAGACAGAAGCGAGAAGGTCCGAAGATATATTTGATAGGTTATCAATATATCGAGAAATGGCTGATCTAAACCGGCTGGCGACTGCATGGGATGTTGAGCACGGCGTCCCCACTCTTGATTTGGTGCGGATGCATGACCAAGCGCCTTCAGCTAGGTGAGTCAATTAAAACTAATGTGGTCAGCATCAAATGTCAAGAAGACTTACAGAGCTATTTATTTGGGAGATTTATTTACCGCTACAGATCACTCCCCAACTGATGGAGTAGTAATGACCGTAAAGCGTTGCCAACCTGAAGTCTAAACCCAACTAGTTTGTCATTGATAAACACTCCTATGACAGCTTGACATATTCGGAAGTATCTTGTCGTTTTTCCTTACTATAAGGAGCTATGTGGTACAATATAATAGTCTAGTACCTCAAGGTTCTGTCCTAGGTCCTTCACTCTTTATACTGTATGTAAATGATCTCCTTAGTACAGTTGAGCCCCCAATACTACTACACACTGATGATATAAAAATCCAACTTGGAACAACAAGAGTCGCAGATGCATGCACACTTCAGGTGGACTTACATGTTCTGATCAGCTGGTCTAAAAAGTGGCCAAATATGTCCACACGCACTTCGGGGATACAAAGGTAGATAGGTACAGCATAGGAGAAGCGCCTGTACCCGTGGTCTGGTCTCCCAAGAGTCTTGGGGTGGCACTGAGTCATGGTGTTAAGACCACAGCCCATTGTCATGAGGTTGCAACTAAGAGGTGTGGAGCCCTATGGGCTTTAAGTCGGACACTTACAAAGTTAGATACTAGTATATTCACCACTGTATACACAACCTCAGTGAGATCGGAACTCGACAACCGCTCTCAGGCTGCAAGCTCCTGTTTAAATGGTGTCTCGGATATCCTAGAAAATGTACGGAGCGAAGCTTCCCGTGCAATTCCAGAAATCCGGGGTTTACCATACAAATTGATGGCTTGAGTAGCTAGACCTCCTTACGATGTCCTGTAGTGGCATTGGACAATAGCCACACAATCCACAAAGCTGTGAACACGAGACTACTCGGAAAATAGATATTCAATATTTAACTTGGGGAAATACCTAGCAATGGAGAAGGCGCGGAGAATGAATTGAATGGACTGGGGTTGATCGAGTGGCATGGCTCGGCCATGCAGGCGTGGTCCATCTCACTGTTACTTTATATCTTCTATTCATATTAAATATATTGTTCTTTCTCTAGCCTAACCTTGTTCCTCATTATGTATTGATAATTGATACGATACAGTGAGTTGGTGTAGTCGATGGTGTGACTTCCACGTAAGATCTTATAGATTAGGCAGTTATATCATGACAAATCGATAAGTTTAGGATTAGGTCTATTATTAGAGCAGTACTAATATCATAGTAGACCATAATTCTACATTGGTGAGCCCAACTAAAGAAACGCAACCTATTATTGTTAATCCTTATTTCCACCTTAACCTTCTCAATCGGATTTTATTTTTGTAAACCCACTATTCTAATAGTCCTTTGATTAATGGTCACATATATTATCGTAATGTTATATCTATTAGTTCACATAACTTACTAGCACATTCGATAATAAAAACTGGTCGTCTATATTATCTAATTAGCTTCGATGGTTCGTTAACAAGCTTTAATAGCATTTACATGCTTCAGCGACATAGGCTTGTTTAAGCATCAAGCTCTAGCAAATATGACCAGTAAATAACGCAAATACACATTGACTAACAATGCAGCAAGGACTAAATAGTTACCTGGATCTAATATTCAGTGTTCCTTATCTTATTACCTCATCCTGTTTTAAACTATACACTATCCTGTAATATCTTTTCTTCCGACCACTGCCTGCCTAATTTCAAATTTTCGAGTTCCATTGCCAAACAACAAGGATGACACTTCTCTAAAAACATACGGTGAGTTTCAGCCATAAGTTTTCTGCAATCATAAGGTCATTTTAGATGGCTCGTTCAATGGTGACCGCACAATTATCTGAATTCGTTCGGTTGTTCTAATCCGAGCGAGTGGCAAAAACGTCAACAGCATCAAGCACCCTGGGATTAATTGCCATACTGCATGTTTTATTCTGGATACTTTTGGATCATTACTACTCCTCACGAATGGCGTTATATATGTCGTCCACTGAATAATCTAATTTTCAAAAATAACCCAGGCGAGTTCAACTATTTTACCTAATGATTTTTTTTACTTAACATGTATATGTTTTCCGGTTCCTTTTGCTATATATTTGTAAGTGTCCCTAGGCTAAATGCAGTAACTTCTTATGGAATGTTTATAACGCATCATATTCCTGCCTGAAGTTTCACAAGCAGTCTTAACTTTAAAACTATTTTCTGGTCATGTTCATTATTTTTAAATCGTCATATACGTCAACAACCTGCATGTTAACCTGGCCCATACATACGTTACACTATATCTCCATGTCTTCTAAATTTAAAAATCATTTGGATCGCCTTTAACATTTATCAATAAACCCATCATAGTCGTTGTTGCTAATCGTATTTGGGTTTATGGATTGGTTTATCACATTAGCAGCCTAAAATGCAGACATAGTTTAGATAATAAGATTAAAAATTCAGGTACTATCAACGGCACTAGTCAAATAACTAAATCCCCAGGTAGCTGTTGGCTAAACAAACGTTTAACATCAAAACTCCGTAGCCTACTAGAATTAACACTAAACGAATATTTCTGAATTGAAATTTATAATTAAATTAGGCGTCTCGGATTCTTTAACGTTGTAAATTTCTGATGATTTCGAATCACTTAAAGCAACAATACCTATTTTTCCACTGACTAATCTTCAATCAACACTATAACTAGTTAAATTTAGTAGTTTCAGGATATCGTCATAAAGCATTGTCATAACTTGACAATCACGTAATATGACTGATAAAATTAATGAAATTATTAACAAAATCGGTCAAAAAATTGACTTATAATTACCATTAAATGGTGTTGTTTTCTTGGTATCTTCATCCATCACAGATGATTACAGTATGTTTCTCTATCAGTTGCTCATTCAGTAAATATCTCAAAACCTTGTCAGTCTAATTGATGGTCTAGCGACACAATCATGCATGCAAAAAATCAGTATAAGCAGTCGAGCAAATCTCCTGCAAACTGAAAACATCAATGTCGAATTTACCCCAACACTGACTAAGGTTCAAGCCATTATCATAGACATGAGTTGGGAGTGTACTCCCCTGGTTACAACTTATGTACTCCCTGATAATCACATGAGCATCACTCACTGTTAATCATCTTGTAAAAGCTTATTTAGCCGAATACATCTTGCAGCACCACATCACTTCGTAATATGACACAGGCCTAACTGATTTTAATAACTTATAACCACTATATCTCAATTAAATCGTATTCCGCCTTATGATAAACTGCATACTTGCAACTAACTTGTATGCACCATCAGCCGGTAGGTATAAATAAAAATAAATATTCTATGGCAGATCAGAACATTGAGTGTTGAGCATGTCTCTTACGAACACACTCATGTTTAACGATTTTTCCTAGCTATCTGTCCAAAATTCATATAATTATCACTCATGTATTTAAATTTTATTTTGATAACCATTCATGTGTATTAGTAGTATTACTAAATTCTATCACGGTCAAGTAAAAATGAGGTTGAGAAAATCTCCCCGTAACTAAATAAACCGTATCAAACTAACTGGAACACTAGTTGGAATTCTTCCCCACGGTATACTTTTGTTCCTTCAGTTAGCCTACTAATACAGATGCAATTGGAATTCAACTCTTATGGACAACTTACCGGCATAATCGTTATTGATTTCATAATTTAAACCAAAACTAATACCAATATTAACATTTCTACAATATTCATTACTTTAATATTTCTAAACACAAAATACT